GTTTATCTTCATTGAACCACTATCCCTAGCCAAACAAACAAACAAAGCGAACGACCTCCGAGAGAAAGAGGAGCCACATTGTAGATAAGTTTGGTGAGATCTCTCTGATTTTCACCACCCGANNNNCGATTCAAGACGGAATTGAATCTTCTCCACCTGTTATGCATTTTGCTTACTCGGTACGATTTTCCCTCCTTGATTGATAATATATATATATATTTACTGTACAGCAGTAATGGCGTAATTATCCATCGCTGAAAGTGAGATTGTTTGCTATTCTGTTATCCAACAGATAGAATGTTGCAGATCACATGCTGTCTGTATTTATAGAGTCGAATCCAGAGCAGCAGCATCGAACTTTACAGAACTTTGAAAAAAATATTCATGAAACCAGAGCCAAAATTTACCTATTGTATCTCAAACGCTTTAAAAGTACGGTCGTTCAATCAAGTAGGCTGCTGATCCACGGAGGTGAAAAGACGTTTGCACTGCCATTAGACTATTCACTTCCGATTGGTCACACTGGATCGTGATCAGCCTGTCTGTCATTGGTCTATCTAACCTGTCGTCTGATCGGTGTACAGATGAACAGCTGTTCGAGGTCGAGCTGTGTTGACGGTTTTGCTTTGGTCCTTCTTTGCGTGTGCGTGTGTGTGTGTGTGTGTTCATGCGCCTATGTGTGTTTCGGTGCATTCTCGAGTGCGTGCGTACGTGCACGCCTATGTACGTGGTGTGTGTTTGTGCCTGTGGGTGCTCCCGTATGTGTGTTTATTTGCGTGGGTCAACGCATCACAACGGTTGTGGTTATGAACTACTTTCGGCTACTCCCACGAGGTTCAGTCGATCCCAAGCGAACCAGCCAACCAGTCCGCAGCCTTCCCGTGGTCTTTCGTTCTATCTTCACCGTGATTGTTCATCGGTGCAGGGAAAATTGTGCTTATTCCTATCACTGGACAAGTGACCCCTGAACGAACCTTTCAGGCAGTCCCGCTCTCCGCCCCCTCCGCTCGGCTGCATTTGAATATTTCGTAACAATTTACCATATCATGCAACGCAGACACATGGTAATTGACACTGGCTGATTTGCTTGAGTTTCGTGTTCCTCTTTCGAGTCGTGAAGCCATCATCATCCTCAATATGGACAAAATGAATTAAAAACTGTGATCGGCTTCTCATTGCACAAATCACAAATCCCAGTATTTTCAACTGTTACGCACAATGGGTGGATGTTGTTCTTGCTGTCGATGTGGTGAGTCTTTATCAACGAAACAAGTGGAACAACTAGTTGCTCTGGTATATTTGTATTAAAAACAAACGGGCCACCGGAGCCGAACAGATCATCCCAACTGATGCAATTGTTCATTGTTTCTGATGAGGGTTTTGTAGCGATGATCACTTTACAATCTTTACCTCGATACAGTCATCAACAAGTTTGTCGTTGAGGCAGCACCAAAATCATTCGGAGATGGGTGAACGACGCAGGGGGGGGAGGAGAGGTCTGTGAGTCTGTGTTTGAAGGACCGATGAATATATAATCTGGTGTTGTTTCGACGTAACGGTTTCTGTTTTTAAATCATGATGTCTTGTTGGTCCGAGCTTGTTTCATGCGTTGAGTGCTATAGCGCTAATGTTTGCATTCAGTACACGCGGGAACTTTGGACGGAGCTATCAGCTGTATTGTAATATGTGCTAGAAACTTCATAGTTTAAATTGCTCTGCTTAAAAAAAGAGGATTCAAATAGAAAAATCAGCTCCGAAAAACACGAAATTTTGTAGGGATCGCCACTCTTCTTACTTTTGCAAACTAACGCCAGGAAAGGAAATCAGACGCTTCTCCCCGGTACGGGAATCTACGGCCAAGAGTGTATGGCCAACGCGGACTGCTCAGACTAGACTCCTATCGGACGGGGGCGAATCACGCGAAACACATTATCTCGCGTACTCTGATGTGAAACTGGATAAAACGCACTGCGCACAATTCGAACTCAACGATTTTCGAAACTATCTTCGTGTTTTAAGAACAAAAATATCAACTTGACATCCGATGTGACAGTAATTCTATCACATGATATTTGTTCTGCATACTGGATGTGATTTATTGCAAAAACGTTTCTGATACTCTCTTTAACCATACTGATTCAATAACTTTTCCCCACTTAGAACAACGATGATTATTCGGGCAATATTGTCTGTTGCTCCGGAAATACATTTTCCTTTCCTGAACAAAAGGTTTCGCTAAGTTTTTCCTCATAATAGCCTAAACAACAATATGAAAGTTATCCACGCCTATTGATCAATGCATTCCATATGATTGTCAGCTTATTACTGGAATGCGATGTACGGTTAGTTTCCTGAAACGGTTTGCAAAAATATCTTTGAATAAAAAAGACAGAGGCCTGTGGTTCCAAAACCCCGTTTCCAGTATTACCAACTCATCCGCCACATAAGCTGACGCTTGGGACACAGTACGTTTGTCACTCAGCAAGTGCATGATTTTCCGGACTGGTTCATACATTTTTCATCAAACAAACTCCGGAGGACGGCAAACCAGTTGTTATCATTGTCCCCGTAGTTACGTGATCCTGACAAGAGGTAATGTGTATCCGCGCTCCCGTATGTATGTATGTATGTATGTATGCACGTGTGGTTGAGAACGTGCAACCCGTGGCCGTGGGGGTCAGAGAATTAGCTGTGCTGATCCTGGGCTGAGTTAGGACAAACAGTTGGTCAGAATGATTTATCCGCACATGGTTAAATCATCTCCAAAGAAGACGCCAGAGTTAGAGAGTGAGAGGGCTTTGTTGTCAAACGCGGGAACTTGTTTTTGAAGGTGATTTACGTTTGCATCACTTGCGCAAATGCGGTCTGGTGTAGATGCCATCACGGTTTTTTCACATCAGTCAGACTTTGTGGGGTCGACTCAGGTTGTGGGTATACACAAAGTGTGAGGGAAAGGGAGGTCGAACTAGAGGAGTGACTGGGATAAATACCATTTCATCAAGCAATGTGCCGTTACCTAGTTGTTTGGAAATTAATTGAGATTTTCAATTATGACATGAGAACAAGCAATGATACGCTTGTTGCATCGGAAATCCTTTTTTGTCTTTATTGGCAGACAGAGGAAGGTGATGAGATTCCAAAACGTGGACAGTAGTGATTTTAAAAAATATTCAAATGGTTTTATGCAACCAAGGAAACAGATGGTAATATGAGCATATGGCATCAGAAGACATTTACAACTTTCTGACAAATGCCCTGATAAAAACTGAATTCGGACGCGGTGTTTTCTTTTCACAGTTTTTATCGAAGATACAAAAAACAAGCCGGAGGGTGAGGGAGTAATTTGTTTCTAATGAAAATCTAATTTTCATATCTGATAGATGCAGATTGAAGCAATTAGTACAAGTCACTCAAAACAATCATGAGATTTTTTTTTCTCGAAAAATCCCAATCATTCAGTGAATAACAGAAGAGCAGTGATCTTTGTAACTAGCCAAACTAACCTAAAACTGGTATACAAATTGCAACGGTCTGATTTATTTTACACTTAACTCAGCAAATCGATAAGGAAA